TACGTCAATATATGTACGATGGCCTTCAGCGTTACTGTAAGTACTACCTAAACTGGAGGATTGGCTGTGTGTGTGTGTGTGTGTGTGTGTGTGTGTGTGTGTGTGTGTGTGTGTGTGTGTGTGTGTGTGTGTGTGTGTGTGTGTGTGTGTGTGTGTGTGTGTGTGTGTGTGTGTGTGTGTGTACTCACCATGCTCGTTCTACTCAGCTGCACTTGTAGGCATGATTATCTGTGTGTGTGATGTATTATATATATGACTGAAAGGGATAAATCAATGAATCTAGCACGAATCCTCTCTGTGTCTTATGTTCTTCTTCAGTTGGGAAGAAACTTCAGTAAATTTACACTTCAAAAAGTATTTTACATTATAAATAGATCTGACGCGTTTTACTAAGCTGCTTATTAACATCCTCAGAGGCTGAACATATATACACAAAGGCATGCTCAGTAAGGTATTCCATGCGGGTGAAATAAGACAAGTGGAGGTTATACCTTCAAGGGACGTGGGTAATCTAGTTTTACATTCTTCTTGGTCGGCTAAAATGTTGCATTTCAACTAGCATTTTCTTTTTTGTTTTCTTTTTAATAGGACATTCCTAAGAGTAAGCTTGCTATTAATATTCGGATGAGCTTGCATCACATTGATGAATCACGTTAGTGTGATCTCTGTGTGTGATGATGTAAGGGCGAAGAGGGAGAACGGCCTATTGACATAGCTCGGGTGCAGGGGGGGGGGGGGTTGTGTAAAAGCCTGGTTTGTGCCTCGGAGAGGCTACGGGATCCAGTAAGTTCAGTAGAACTTCGGTTTCAACCCTTTTACCCTGTCGTAGCTCAGTCGATTAAGGCAGTGTCTGGGATGCTCCCGGACGCAGGTTCGAATCCTCGTCACGGCCCTTGTGGATTTGTTCGGATGAGCTTGTTTAATGCGAAGTGCTTCATCTATGTCTGATCTCCTGTTGTGTCTGTATCTGTGGATTATTTCCATGATGGTTGTCAGGATGTTCTGATGGTGGTCGGGTAAAAAGTATGTGATCGTGTTTGTTCATTGATAGGTGCTTTGAGGAATATGTTGTTGTGAATATATGTTATGTGTGTATTTCCCCGGCCGTGTAGGAGATGACGTGTGTGTTGTGGTCAGCAGGTGGGAGACCGCCTCAGTAAATCACTCTCCTGATTCATGTGAGAGTTTTTGTGGTCGTTACTGTGTGTGTGTGTGTGTGTGTGTGTGTGTACTCACCTAGTTGTGCTTGCGGGGGTTGAGCACTGGCTCTTTGGTCCCGCCTCTCAACCGTCAATCAACAGGTGTACAGGTTCCTGAGCCTATTGGGCTCTATCATATCTACACTTGAAACTGTAAATGTGTGTGTGTGTGTGTGTGTGTGCTTACCTAGATATGCTTACAGGATCGAGCTAGACTCCTGGCCCCGCCTTCCGAACGCTCTTATATTAATTCAGTAACTCATTTCTCACACTTTTATCATATTTATATTTAAAGCTTTGAATCGAATTAGCTTCGACGACGCTTACGTCTAACCTGTTCCATTTATTGCCAGCTCTAAGACTGGGAAAGTTCTTTCCAACGTCACTTTGACTTATTTGTGTTTTTGGTTTCCATGCATGACCCCACGTTGTGATTTTCCTAGCTTTAAACAATGCTGATTTGTCTACCTTGTAAATTTCCCTTAGAATCTTATATGTTGTTATCATGTCTCACTTATCTCTACTTTCCTCCAGTGTGGTAAGGTCCAGGGGCCAGATTCACGAAGCAGTTACGCAAACACTTACGAACCTGTACACCTTTTCTCAATCTTTGGCGGCTTTGTTTACAATTATTAAACAGTTAATGAGCTCCGAAGGACCAGGAGGCTGTTTATAACAATAACAACAGTTGAATGGGAAGTTTGTATGCTTGTAAACTGTTTAATAAATGTTATCAAAGCCGTCGAAGATTGAGGAAATATGTACACATTCGTAAGTGCTTGCGTAACTGCTTCGTGAATCTGGCTCCAGTTCTCTCAGTCCTTCCTCATAGCTCCGTCTCTTCACCTGAGGAACGAGACTTGTTACATATCCCCGGATCTTTCCTAGTTCTCCCTTGTCCTTTTCCAGGTTAGGGTTCTATGCTGAGGATGCATATTCAAGAGTGGGTCTGACCTTCGTTGTATATAGGGCCCGGAAAGCCCCCTTTGTCCAAGTTGGTGAAGGATACACTGATGTTGGCCAGTATGTCACATGCAGCTGTTGTTATTCTGCTAATGTGGGCTTCTGGCATCAGATTTGGGGTCATGTCCACTCCCAGGTCTTTCTCCTTTTATGATGGAAGGGTTTGTCTTCCCTTCATCCTATACTACTGTTCTGACCTTCACACTCCTTTTCCAATCCTCATAACTTTGCATTTGGCTGGATTGAATTCTAGTATTCACTTTTCAGACCCCTTCTATGGGCTATACAAACTCACAACCGAGTCTGCCACTAGACTACGGGATGAGCAAATTAATAGGTCCTCTTTTGCGGGCTCTGAAAGTCGTCTACCTTTCGTCTTAACAGTGTTGAGAGTGTCTTCTGGCTCCCTCCCAAGTTCTTATTACCTTCCATTTATCTCTTGAAGAGAGACGCACTAAAACATTATTCTGGTAAAAGATAGTGTCAAGGTGCTCTGAATATAAACAAATGAAGAGAGAGAGAGAGAGAGAGAGAGAGAGAGAGAGAGAGAGAGAGAGAGAGAGAGAGAGAGAGAGAGAGAGAGAGAGAGAGAGAGAGAGAGAGAGAGACAGAGAGAGAGACAGAGAGAGACAGGCAGACAGATAATCCAAGGTTACCGCCGTGTATCTCGCCTAAAATCCTCAACTTTATCCCCAACTTTATCCTGGCAAAAAGAAAAACAAAATCTTGTCTTGGGGGCGTCCAGTGATCAATATTACAGTATATTATATAAGTAATTAATATAATTTGCTCCTGAATTACTATCTGTGGTCAATATTTCACGGGACAGCCTCTGTTAGACGTTATTTAAACAATAAATGGTCGTAATTTGGATCAGAACCATGTTATCTGAGTATCTATTGGCTTACTCCCCCTTTCCTGTGGGTGATGAATGTAGTTTTAGTATGGTGTAGTTTAATCAAAGCCACTCTTTTCCGCCTCCTCTCTCTCTCTCTCTCTCTCTCTCTCTCTCTCTCTCTCTCTCTCTCTCTCTCTCTCTCTCTCTCTCTCTCTCTCTCTCTCTCTCTCTCTCTCTCTCTCACCTGTTAATAAAGTACCCACAGATTTATTCCCTGGGACGTTTATCGGAAAACATTACTGGGGATGTTTTTATTTATTCAACGTAGCGTGGTGGTGGCGGAAGAGGTGGTGGGGGGGGGGGCGAGTCTTAGCGATGGGTATCGAACCGGGTTCCGAAAAATCCGTCTTTCTCGGAATGGCGGTCCCGAACGCTGCCTATAGTTTGATATTTGTATCACTTCCCGGGATTCCATTTGATGGTATATTGGACTTGTACCCAAGATTGACTATGTAATACATCTGTTATACAATGTATTGTACTTATACAATGTGTAATACATCTGTTATACAATGTATTGTACTTATACAATATGTAATACATCTCTTATACAATGTATGCACCTATAATCTGAGCTTGTAAAAGCATCTTAATCACCTTCAGTGGTTAAGAGTTTAATATCACACTAGTTTCTAAAGAAACTATCTTACACTGTCAAAGTATGAGAGACATAAGTGTATGTATATATATGTGGATCTGTATAGGTATATGTGTATATATGTATATGGCGTGTGTATTTGTATACAGGACATGTGGAAGCTGGTCAGAATTGCATTTCACCATTGTAAACGCACCTTAATGACACTATGTAAAACACACCTCGAGCACTGTTTATGTAGGACAGACGTAAATCTGTGTTTTTATGTCTGTAGTTTAGATTAACATTTTAAAAACACTAAAATCACCTTCTGTGGTTGCTTGTTCGATAAATCACTGAACTATATGTTTAACAGATCTCTAACCCTGTCCATGGAGGACAGGAGAAAATGTATATAAATGTATATATGCTGGTTAGCATTGTAAATGTGTGGCCACGTCTGTGGTAGAAAATAATAATAATAATAATAATAAACTTGCCTGATGACACTGTCTGAACCCCACGTTTGCTCTCTCTCTCTCTCTCTGCAAATTAGAAGTCAGAAATTAGCCTGGGTTCATAAATTTCCTTAATTAGTAATGTTTGTAAATTAGTCTATAATTATCCGAATGACAATTAATCAATTATCGTAGCTTACATTGTGTTTCACGGCTCTTTTATGAATAAACACTAGAGGAAGGAGGCGACATTGCTCTGTGATAACGGTATAACTAGCACAATAAGCGAACACAGTGATGATGAGCTAGTTACAAAATTCAATGTACATCGTCACAACAAAGGGCTCCAGACCGACCATAAGTACAGTTTCTAAATTAAGCAGCTGACATATTTGGAAAGCTGGTGTCACAATTGATACGTTTGTCCTGCACACCGCCCCCCATCAAGTGGGCAGCGGTGGATAGGTTACAATCACTTAGTTACTACCTACAAGTTAGCAAACTGGGGATCAGAGACAATTATACGAGGTTGGTTACCGCTTAGTATCCCTCCTAGTATAACATACATGTGTGTGTTTTAAATATAATAATAAAACTTTTCCGGGTTACGAAACCAACCTGTCATCATCCTAAGGTTTCCCAGCGTCAAGAAAACGGTCAATTTAAAATGTCCTCTCCTAACTAACCAGAGGACCCAAAACAGAAAACGGAACAGTACGCCACATTCGCGAGTCGCTTCTATTTTCTAGTACGACAATTTTTGGTCTTATGTAACGCATACGACCGAAATGCGACGTTCTTTGTAGGAGGACAGATTGGCGAAACGTGTTGTGAACGCGTGATTGTTGTGTGTGGAGGGGGGGGGGGGGAGGGGCGTGTATATGTGTGAGGACACAAGCACTAGCCGGCGGCCTTGCATGACGCCAGTACCGTATTGACCACGGAGGAATTCACACGCATCATGTCTCCTCTCCTCCTCTTCCTGCCGCTGGTGTTGTGGGCGAGGTCTCACCCTGGCGTCGATGCCTCCTCCCCGCTATTTGCCAGCCAAGAGGAAGTGAGTTCCTCGCTGGTAGTAAATCAACTTGCTATCCTCAAGATGATGGGAGACTCTTCAAACTCCTGTTCTACGGGTACGTTATCCTGCGATAACTTGATTATGGGATTGTAGTTACGTTGTAAGTAAGACGGTTTGCTGTTGGATTTTAAAACATATTACCTCTCCTAACCCAAACCACTCTAACCCCTATCCTGCCTAACCATAGTTATTACATCTTAACTTAGCCATATACACGACTCTTGAGGGTTAGGAAACGTCTTCTCTATTATTTGACCACAACCCTATAACACACCGTAAGACTGACCTTACTTGTAACAATCACACAGTTCATTTAGCTAAATAACAATCTCGTGAAGACATGATTGTGGAAAGAAGCTATTGGACTTGATTTTACAAGTAAATTTCATTTTATTTATTTATTTATATACAAGAAGGTACATTAGGTTGAGAACACCATATCATTGGTGTTCTTACATTCTTGTAAACCCTCATTCTTGTTTATATCTGTTCGTGGCAGCTGGCCCCGAACAATAAAATTTTTATTATAAGTAACTACACTACACCTGTAACTACACATAGGTGTAGTTACAGGATGAGATATACTCACGCGCACGCGGTTGAGTGGACAGCATTTAAGGGTCGTAGTCCTAAGGGCCCGGGTTCGATTCCCAGCCGAGGCAGAAACTAATGGGCAAAGTTTCTTTCTACCTGATGCCCATGTTCACCTAGCGGTAAATAGGTACCTGGGAGTTAGACAGCTGTTACCGGTTGCTTCTTGGGTATGTGTGTGTTAGAAATACACGTTGAGTGTATAATAGAGGATAAAATAGATCGGAAAGAAAGGCGGTGCCCAAGAGCTAATAGCTCGATTCTGCAGGTGCATGTTGTAAATACACACACATGGCCACAACTCCATTCTGCATTCTAATGATATAATTTAATATATATATAAATGTATTTTTTCCAGTAGCGCCTGTCGTCATGGAGAAGCTTGAGGCTCAGCTGCAGCAGGACAAAGAGGTCCTTCACGGTGCTATGAGCGACCTTCTGGAACAGATAACTCAACTGAAGAATGAAACCACATCAGGTAAGGGCTGCTCACTAATGTTTTAGTGAGAAGAAACTAATTGACACACCTTAATAGGGAACTGAAGGGGTAGGGATACTGGACAATTAAGTGCACTAGGTCAAAGGGGAGCAAAGAGGACGGTAAGCCCAGTATCAGATGACAATTTGAAAACATTACTTTATCACTTTAGATAATAATTCCTAACTATGTTCCTTACTAGAGGCTAGGAAGTTGAATGATAAGGTGTGTTGTTTTGTTTTAGATTCAGCTACTCGGAACAAAAAGTTCCAAGTAGCACGGGCTATGGTGAGTCCGCCTAACTTACCTGGCACAGGGATATGAAAAATTAGGCAAGAACTCTAAACTCATAAGAACATAAACTCATAAGAACAAGAACATAAACTCTTTTACATCTCTCTCAGGTTTTGAAGATGTGAAAGGCGAATTGAGGAGCATATTGGAGGCCTATCAGGACGAGGTCACCACCTACAAGTCTCAAGTAAACAACATTACTGGGAAAATGACTACCATGGAGGTGGACCAACGCAACAGTAAGTCATGTGAAGCTGTGAGACTGTCATGGAGATGGGTCATGAGGCTGTCAGTAGTGTGTGAAGCTGTGAGACGTCATGGAGACGGGTCATGAGGCTGTCAGTAGTGTGTGAAGCTGTGAGACGTCATGGAGACGGGTCATGAAGCTGTCAGTAGTGTGTGAGACTGTCATGGAGTTGGGTCATGAGGCTGTCAGTAGTGTGTGAAGCTGTGAGACTGTCATGGAGATGGGTCATGAGGTTGTCAGTAGTGTGTGAAGCTGTGAGACAGTCTTGGTGATGGTCATGAGGCTGTCAGTAGTGTGTGAAGCTGTGAGACTCATGGAGATAGGTCATGAGGTTGTCAGTAGTGTGTGAAGCTGTGAGACTGTCATGGAGATGGGTCATGAGGCTGTCAGTAGTGTGTGAAGCTGTTAAACTGTCTTGGAGATGGGTCATGAGGCTGTCAGTAGTGTGTGAAGCTGTGAAACTGTCTTGGAGATGGGTCAAGTCGCTGAAACTGGTTCGAACAGACTAACAAACGATATTATAATCAAGTTTTGTTAAATGTGAAAAAAATCAGAATTTGTTGTGGATTTACACTTGTTTGTGTCACCAGTTTTGTCAGTTTATTAAATTCATTATTTTATAGGTAATCGTAGACCTTGATAAGATATATTAATTCATATAAAAACTACCAGGGATGTCTGCTTAAGTCTTAATTCCTGTCTTATCAATGCATGTCAATCTTCCTTCAACAAAGCCTCACAAAACAGCAAATTGGTAATAAAATTATTTTAGTTAATTTTTGGTTCAGTTACATTTCAATTTGTCGTGGTAGCGATTTCTAGAATTTTTCAAGATATGTTTTATATAATTGAAATATTTTGATTTATTTTAATATTCCTGAGACTGGTATTAACAGATCACTGTAATTTAAAAGAAAAAAAGATCACTCACTTTTTTTTAAGAAAGACATTCCAAAATAATCAATAATTATTATAACACAATTAGAATATAATGGTGATAACAAATGTTTATGTTTTTCTCAGGTCTGGAAAATGTGTCTACAAGTTTACAGGTGTTGGAAAATATGCAGCAGGAGGCTGTGAGTGATTACAACGACCAGATTCGCTCCCTAACTTCTCTAGTCGAGAGCTTACAAGAAAAACTCCTCAATAACAGTAAGTTTTATTTTGTTTCATTTTGATTACGAACCTCGTAGATCAATAATAACAACTAATGATCTAAATCTAAAAATCTGAGTATACACTATATACAGTAATTATCATTGTTACATTTTATCTATTATTATGCCTTTCTCCTAAGTAAATAATTTTCTATAAATGTCTTTAAACTAAACACGCTATAAATGTACTAACATTTATGAATAAACTCGTTAAATTTGAATACATAATTAGGTCTTTGTATTAAGTATGACTCACGGTTTTTAATAAACAATTATTATTGTTAATTTAATGTTAAAATGACCATTTTAACCATTTTAGTGAATTTATCTGAATTTACCCGAGGGCTAATAAAACATTAGCGGCCTCGACGATAACAGGAAGCCGGCGGCTTGTCACAGGTCCCCCCCATTTGCCCTGATGATTTTTGTCCAGTTGGATTTGTAGATTTAACAGAGTTTTGGCATTTACGGCTTCGGCGGGTAGGCGGTTCCATGGGTTTATAACCCTGTGCAAACTAATATCTTATCAAAGTAAATTATCAAACTAATATTTCGTAATCAGTGTGAGTAACGTATCTGCCACTGTCTATTATTTTGATCCATAGAATTTAATCTAAATAACTCAATTTTATTATTTTTTCCAGCCTCTTACATATTAGATACTTAGGCAGTAGGCCTCTTTAGAGATAATTCACATTTGTTAAACTAAGGCTCACCATTAAAAATAGAACATAAATAATGTGCTTCCTTTAGAATATGCTTAGAGGTCTATACAGCATATATATAGCATAGCATAACAATCAATATCTTCCAGTGTTATGAACCTAAGGTCAATTAGATACACCACTCGATTAAGATGTACATACATCATAATTCATAACTATTTAATTTTTAGAGTTACCTGAAGTGCTGTGTATACAGACTTGCTTTATAAAAGTATTCTCTTCCATTTACGTATATATCAACTCTTTAATAATCTCCATTCTCCAAAATATTTATGAACCACTTTCATGTATATTTTGTCACGAAATTTGAGTTCTTTGCATGAACCTCGCAAATGGTGAACATTCCAATTATGAACTATGTGAACAAGAGCTAGGACATACTCTCCAACACTATACTGGGATTGCTCTGTTATCAGTGATTTCAGACCAAATGTATGAGATACTTTGAGCTCTGTAATTACTTCATACACTCAGGAATATTGGAAGATATTCTTGTGCTCTACCTAGAGTTTGTTAGTGGAGACTAATAGATCAGCCTAACATTTCATGTTCTCTCCTGATTCCATGTATGATTGGCCGTCCTGTGAGGTGGGAATATTTGATGAACTTATAGCTAGTTGTTTATCTACACTGTGTAATCTTTTACACAGAATAGGGTAGCAACACATTGCTGTGTATTCCCAAGCTTGTAAGTAAAATAAAATGCATAGTTACGCATTATTTAAGCTCAGTTTCGTTTTTTTTTTAAGAGAGAGAATTATAGAGACAGTAACTTTACAAGTTGAAGGGCAAACTGCTGAAGAATCTTTGATCAAACAAATTCTTCTTCTATTTTTTTTTTTTTTCCGTCATACATTTCCATATCATAGAAGAAAAGAGATATTTTAATTCGTCACACTTTCATTGTATTAAACAAAAACTTTTTTCTGTTTTAAGCTTTAGAAGAAATGTTCGAAGAGCTGAAAAGAACACAAATTGCGCTCCAGGAGGAGATCAACACTTGCAAGTCTCAAGTCAGTTCCCTCACCACTGAACTCCGGGAGGGAATCAACACCAGCACGTCTCAAGTCAATTCACTCAACACCGAACTCCAAGGCGAGCTCAACACCTACAAGTCTCAAGTCAGTTCCCTCAGCACTGAGCTCCAGGAGGAGATAAACACTTGCAAGTCTCAAGTCAGTTCCTTCAACACCGTGCTGGAGGGGAAGATCAACACGTGCAGTGCTCAGGTCACTGCCCACACCGCACAGATCACTACCCTGGAAGGGAAGGTCCAGCTCAACAGTAAGTCTTGGGTAAAGAGGGATGTACTGAGTCTTGTATTATATTCGTGCATTCGGGAGTTGTTAGAAATGCTTAGAGATGACAACTGTTGCATCAGAGAAGCATAATATTAATTTACCTGAATTTACCTGAGGGCCACTAACACTAATGGTCTCGACGAGGACCGGAAGCCGGCGGCTTGTCGAAGGTCCCCCTATTTGCCTTCATGCATTCTTATGTCTATGATGGCAACTTGAAATAATTAGTTTTTCTTGTTTGCAATAATATCAGTAGCAATAATAATAATAATATTTATACTAAATAGCTTCCCATCGCCGGGGGGGGGGGGCAGAAAGCCTGTTAGGCCTAATGAGGTCCCCCATATGCCAATGACTGACCGTGCTCAGGATACGACCCACAACAGCTGACTAACTCCTAAGTATCTATTTATTGCTAGGTAAGCAGAGGCATCAGGCGTAAGGCAACAATCCCAGACGTCTCGTCATGCCCAGGAATGCAACGCGGAGATGAGCCGCCTACAGTAACCACTGTGTCTCAGGTTACATATAAAGCGTACATTAATATGTACATTTACGGTATAGTACTTGTAAAATGTGTGTATGGAATCACAAACCCCGTACACCTGATGCATCTGTGCACCTAGCAGAAAATCGGTACCTGAGAGTTAGGTAACTGTTGTGACTTGCATCCAGGGGAAAGGTCAATAGTTGACCTTGGACGGAACACACCACGTGACGTCCAGTCTGGGGGCGAAGTGCTTCTTGTAGCACTTGATTATGTCTATATAACACTTCATAACTTCTTATATATGGCTTGATATCTTCTTCCTTGGAGAACACCTATCGATCATAGGACCAAGAACTAGAATATGGTTTGTTGACCAATCCACACACTAGAAAATGAAGGGACGACGACGTTTCGGTCCGTCCTAGACCATTCTCAATTCGATTGTGACTTGAGAATGAGAATCTACTTGAGAATGGTCCAGGACGGACCGAAACATCGTCCCTTCATTTTCTAGTGTGTGGATTGGTCAACATACTTCAACCACGTTATTGTGACTCATCGCCTGTTAACAAATAGTTTGAAACTCTTGGGTAAACATTTTAGAGTACTCCCACTTGGTGTGGAGCAAGCAACAACAACAGGGTGAGATATTATAATGGCGTCTCTCTCACTCTTTCAACCACAGAGTTTAAGGAAGTGATGGTTTCTTTAAATCAATTATTAACTGATCACTAATATACTTATTAATTCTAGCAAATACTTTAGCACCAAGTCAATGAACTTTTTATAAGCAATAATTAATATTACTAATATTAGATCAAATGAAAGTTTTTCTAAGTGTCGTGGCAGGTTGGAGCAGGCAGCTTGACTGTATGGCGCCTGGGAGGCATTCTAGCGGCAGTTTACCTCTTGTATAATCCATATAAAGTTACTCATAACATTATACTGTGGATATTTCCCACAACTTGCATTGGTAGGTCACGTAACTCGACACTAACTGTAATGGTTGCAATACTGATGAATAATAAAGCAATCGCTTTACTGTATGCCTGTAGGACGACATTTCATTTACTAAGTGATCATTTCAGACATTTTTTTTAAATGATTGATAAACTTATTTTTTATTAAATAATATACAATAGTTACATCAATTTACAAAGGAAACTACATATATATATATATATATATATATATATATATATATATATATATATATATATATATATATATATATATATATATATATATATATATATATATATAATTTTCAGTAAACCAATGATTCTAATTAACACTGTCCCGCCAGGTTTGCTGACTCAATTCACAAGAAGCAATACTGCGCCAGTAACCTGTAGTGGTGATAAAGGTAAGTCTGAATATAATATTTATATTTAAATCTTAATGACTCAAACATTTGTTTCAATATTCATTCCTGTCAGACAATTATATGTTCCATAATATGCTATATGTAATTACAAATCATATAACATTCTTCCCTGTGACTGAATGCATCACCGGGATGACTTAAGTTAAACTGTCGACTGATCCAGTCTGTGACTGCACTGCTATGATGACTTTGTGTGTTCTTGCTTTCACTGTTTCGTAACCACGATAGTCGTTCTTACTTTCTATATCTATCACTCTACCAAACTTCTCGCGTTGCAAAAATATTTTTTGACTATGATTTCAAAACACTTATAAGGATCAGACTCTGAAACGATAACTAATGTATCTTTAAATGTGCATTTAGTTCAACTGGACCATTCACCTTTGGGTAATGGGTAAGTGATAAGGTGGAGGTAAGTGCAGTGGTCGTCTATCAAAATATCACAGACTGTCACTCGGGCCAAAACGTGTATTCATACACACGTTTTGGCTTTTACCCTCTGGCTTCCTGTCCCTCGACACAGTGAATTATATTAACTGTAATCACTGAGTTTGCCACTGTGGTGACTGTATCATTGTGATGACTGTACTACTTCTGTAGTCTGATCACCCTGATCTGTAGATCCATCACCCTGATACAGAAGTACTTCTGTATCAGGGTGATGGCTGTACCACTCCGATGACTGTGTCTGAACTAACTAATACCTTTCCTCTTGTCCTTAACCCGGCAGAACTGACTGCGATGAGCCATTCAATATGTGTCGTCACCACTGGTAATTATTCTGATAATTTGAGCTGCAGTTGGAAGGTGACACTGCCACCAGGAACCAAGATATTATTAAAATGGAGCTACTTTGAACTAGAGTACAGCTCCGACTGTCGCTATGATTCTGTTGTGGTGCAAGACTTGACCAGAGATAATCAACTTGTGTACGGGTAAGTCATCCTGAGACTTTGTCAACTTTGTAAGACTCTTGAAACTACTTGATAGATTATCTGGTAAATTTTGTTGAACATGTGATTTTTATTGTCTGAATTTTATTAAAACCAAGAGCAATACATTAGGTTCCAACGCATAACATATAACAAGTAAATGGTGATATCTGAAATTCTGATAAAAAGCATAAATTGTGAACAAAAATGTTATTGTAACTATGTTTTTGTGATAGCAATGACATCCCTGATAAAGTTCCACCGTCCTGCCTCTCATGTTTGTCCTGCAGAAGTTGGCTTCACCCTATGAACAAAATGTTCAAACGCTTTCTTCTTGACAAAGTTATACAGTACTTCAGTTTCGTCTGTCCCTGGTCAAGTAACACAATTATCCACAAACTGTATGAGTGAAAAAACATCATTCAAGTACCATACGGTGTGATGGTACTTGAATAAGGTTTTTCACCCATACTGTTTGTTGATAATTGTGCATTGTTTGTTGATGGTACAGCCCGTCCTTGTGATAATTGTTTGTTGATAATTGTACCATCAACTGTTTGTTGATGGTACAGCCCGTCCTTGTGATAATTGTTTGTTGATAATTGTACCATCAACTGTTTGTTGATGGTACAGCTCGTCCTCTCCATTTGTCACAACATCACTAAAATGATGTATTAAATTGTTCGAACCTATCCATACCGAGGACCCATGAATGGAAAGCGTGACAGCCTGTCGATGTTTCAAGCTGCTCTGATTTATAGTACATCATATTTTAACCGTTGGGTATTTATAGGTCAAAAAGCGATTATAGGTCAAAATGGGTCATTAGCAGCCTCGTGTAGTGTGGGTCAACTGTGCTCCATGTTGTCACATCGCCCCTGAGCACCTAGCGGTAATTAGCAATCTGCGGTGTAAATAATAATAAATGATATAAAGCCACTAATACGCAGAGCATTTTGGGCATAACTTAACATAATTATATGATTTATTCATAGGTTTAATGGGGTGACCAGTACCAATAATTAACATATTTGAATTGTTAACGAAATTTACTAAATGACTACCTTTGTAAGCGATATTTAATGATGAAAGGCATAGATTACCCTAAATATGTAAGTTGCAGCTACAGTACCAGTACATATATAGTATTTAATGTTCACAGTGACGACGGGAGACATCTCCCGTCACGCAGGGTGCAGTCGCACCTCCACAGATCTCCAGTATCATACTGGATTGATACTGGTGATGGCTCAAAAGGGCCACTACTTACGGGCTATTCATGCCCGTGCCACCTTTTGAGTGGCTTAATCTTTATCAATCAATCTATCTTCACAGTGACGGCAAAACACAGGTTGATATGTAGAATGAAGAAATGTGGGTAAAAATTACTTGTGTAATGTTAATTTGGTATTTCTAAGTTTCTCTTTTAAACCGGTTGAGTTTACTAAATAATGGGTTTATTATCTCATTTGGGAGGTCATTCTGCAGTTCAGAACTCTCAATTTGCAAGGCATGTCTGCCTTGGTTAAGTCGCACCCTTGGAATGTGAAATAGCATAACGCTATTTACAAATATGTAATAACCTTCTGTAACGCATACGATCGAAATATGACGTTCTTTGTAAGAAGACAGGTTGCCAAACTATCATTACAGTAATGGAATATAGTAATAAAGGAACATACAAATTAACTTTCATTACAGCATAGCATGTATGTTATGCTTTACTTTCTACTCATCTAATGTTGATGAGTGTTCATTATTATTTTTCAGGCATAAGCTGTGTGGATCACATCTTCCAGGTGATAAATGGATAGACAGCAACATGATCAATATTGTGTTCGGCAGTGATGGGTCAAAGGTCTTCCGAGGCTTTGGACTCGATTACAAAGGAATTTAAGGTGAAATTATCAGGTGAGATTCCATTTTTATAAAAATAATATAATGAGTAAATCAGTTTGAGTAGTACAGGGATTTGTACCAGCGTCCTGATGAGCCATCAGATGCATGCCTTAATTCACTAGGCCATGACAGGACAAAAACTAATCAACCTGGCACTCTACCGAGATAGTCCGGAGGCCCCAGCTGGTGCCACAACCAGGTTTTACGAATATCCCGTCGGCGCTCTTATGTGGGTAGTGGAGTCCTCCACCGACGCTTCCTTCAGAACGCAAAGAAATCTCAATGGTAAGTCATGCCAATGAGAAAATCATTGATATTTCACATCATTGTGATTTCTTTGTGAATAATATTATTATTTATAAGATATACAAGGGATCATATGACTTTGTTTTTTTTAGCAGGTACAATATTTGTATATGTTATAAGACCACTAATTATGCACAGCATTTCAGGTATAACTCAAAATAATGAATGAATTTAATTTCTAGACAATTTTGACAGATGACTTACAAAACAAAATATAAGTAGTGCTGAATTGGTTACTCTCCAGATATGAAATCTAGTGTTTAATGATACAAACATGAGCAAGACCTCATGTTTGTATTCTATGTCTAAGCTTGTCACAGAATAGTTTCCTGTTTCCAACAGCAGCTGTGAGTCACCTGTGGATGCAAGCGGGGAACATCTGTGAACACCAGACTCAATGCAGCTGTGAACAATGCAAGTTAATTGTGACCAACATCTGCATTAATTGCGTCCACCGGTTGCAAGACGGCTGAATCTTTACTTGAATTTACCTGAGGGGCACAATCTTTCTAGTGGCGTCGATGGGGACAGGAAGCCGGCGGTTTGTAAAAGCCCTCCCCCCCCCTCCACATTGTTCGTCAGGATTTTGTTCCAGCTGGATTTTAAACTGCAGTAATGTCTTGGCAGTTATGGGGTCGGTGCTCGGTTGGTTCATGGGTTTATAATCGTATATGTGGAATAGCATCTAAATATGTGGGGGGGGGGCGGTGTGCAGGATAAACAAATCAAATTATAAAACTAGATCACCACATGTAAATTGTTTAGCTTAAAGGCTACAATTGTGCTCGTTCCTCGAACCCATTGTTGATATAATGCTGTAATATATATTAAATTATGTTACTTGTTTATCATAGCTGTAACTTGCTTAGCTAAATAGTAAACTGCCTCACACCTTTAGTTTTTTTGGTTTAAATTGTGCGGGAAACGCTTTGCATAACAGTGGGTTTATTAGTATGTGTTACTCCTGTCCCTATATCTGTACATTACTCTCAAGTGCTTTATACACACATTTTTTTTAATATAAATATTATTATATATATATATATATTTTTATTGTGGGGGGGGTCAATTATCGAGTTCATTATATGCGTTTGTAACTTTCCACTACCATCCACAGGATGGGTATATGTATAATGAATGAACTGAACTATACTGTTGGCAGTTATTAGTATTTAAAGAATTTGTATGAAGCGTTTATGATAGAACACACTTGTATGATAGAACACAGGAAGCAAGCAGCGAGACGCTGTTTGAAGACTTCAAATGGTCAAGTTGGTAAATACAAATGCAGGGGGTGGGGGCCTTCGACAAGCCACCGGCTTCCTGTCCTCGTGGAGGCCACTACTTCACTAGTGTCCACGAGGCCACTGGCTTTGCAAAAATATACCAGTACCAATCTTATGTAATCTCACCAACCCATTGTACCTTCTCGTGAATAAATTATTATGGTGTTCGTGGGCCTCAGGTAAATCAGGTAAAAATGTAAACACATTTATGAGTGGAGCAAACACGGGTTCTCACTCATATTCCATTTGAAGTTAAAACTCAATACGTGCTTCAATCACTGCCCTTCTGTACATATAGGCACTCATTAACCCAGTGTGCCTGGGTTACCGTGTTAACCCAGTGTTACTGGGCATATGGGCACTCATTAACTCACTGTAACCCTGGGTGAACAGCTCTGTTCACTCAGCCCAGTGAATGGGTACCTGGTTTGGGTTAAATCGTGAATGGGTACACGATTTGGCGGGTCGTATTCCAGGGAAATATTAGGAATAACGACCTGCCCAAAACGCTATGCGTGATAGTGGCTTTACAAGAATGTAAGAGCTTTTGTATATTTAAATAAATCAATAAATTAAATCAACGTAACAATAACACTCAATCTAAAGCTTTAAATAGGCTTATAAATATTCACAAACCAACAATATATTATTCGATTTTTAAAAACATTTGTATTGCATATTTCGAGTCGTCCTGACCATTGAGTGCCAGATGTATATGACAACTAATGATGTATTTGTGTATCAGTTTTTTTTATCATTTCATTACACCTGATGACTCTGACCAGCCACCTGTAAATAGCTACCTTGGAGTTAGGTAACTGTTGTAGGTCGCATCCTGGGAAAGATCAGTCGTTAAATTTACCTCGGGGTACCTCTATAGGCTTAAGATGTTAACACCAACCACGGAAGGCCAGAAGGAAGTGTGAATAATTTGGATAGAAATACCGCAGTCTATCACTATATATTTCATAGAAAGTGGCAGTTCCCTTAACAAAGAAAACGAAAACATATTGGCCAGACTATAAAAGTAATTTTCAATTCATCCCCACAAACGAACGTAATGTACAAATCCACAAGGGCCGTGACCAGGATTCGAACCTACGTCCGAGAGGGTCCCAGACGCTGCCTTAATCGACTGAGCTACGACATGGTAAGAAGAATTGCAACCGGAAGAACTAGTAGGTCAGTAGAACTTCCGGTTGCAATTCTTTTACCATGTCGTCGATTAAGGCATCCTCTCAGACGTAGGTTCGAACCCTCGTCACGGCCCTTGTGGATTTGTTCATGTGATGCATCACGCTATTGTGATTTGTGTGTGTAGTGGAACGTAATGTACTTGCGTAGCTCAGTCGATTAAGGCAGCGTCTGGCATCCTCTCAGACGTACGACCGTAATGTACTTGGGCAGTCCCGACGCTGTCCTTAACACCATCACAATAATAATAGTAATATTTTATTTTTAGAAATACAGTGGATCAGATTACAGTGGTTACTTAGCAGGTTCAATTTTGTAGATTTAATATAGCCACTAATTATGCACGCGGGGAGGATACACAGTACTGGATGATGGTGATGTTGATGACTGCCACATTTCAATACTTAAATCAATCGGTGTATGGGTTCCAAAGCCTATAATTGGGCCCTGCCATATAATTAATTAATTATATGTCAGAGCCCAACTGCAGGCTTTGGAACATTTAAAGCTGTGCAGAGAGTTTACCGTCACAACTTTATGTCTTTGTACATAAAATTGATTGTTGCCACGGGAGGCGGCTAGTTTATTGTGCTCACCATACTCATCCTGTCAGTGGTAGCGCAAAAAGGATTACAGAGGGTACAAAATGTCTATCAATGGATCTAATTGGAGATTATTACATTAACAATTTCATCGATTTTTCACTATCCTGACACTGAAAAAATTATAAGATCTCCATACAATGATTCATTTGGGTATTCAGATTCCATCGGTGTCCCCTTGTGTGTGGACTACTCATGCTAGTCTATCCCACCCAGAGCCTGTTTAGAGTCCTGAATATTTTGCATGTCATAATCATGTCTCCCCTCTTTTTTCGGTGACGTGAGATTCAACTCTAAGCTTTTCTCGCAGGTAAGTTACCATTTATAGGCTTTTCTCACAGGTAAGTTACCTAAAATGGCAACATGTTGAAGGATGAAATGTCGACCTACTTCACCAGCCCCTGACCCCCCACTCCATGCCCGGATCCCCGCCCAGGACCCCCGCCCCAGGACCCCCGCCCCAGGACCCCCACCCCGTCAAGTACAAGAATAATATTCTTACTTGGGTTGTTGTTGGGCTGTCTTGCCTCGAGGCCTGTCAGCCTCTGGAAGGATATTAGGGTCACCACAGTAGCTTAATGACCAGCCAACGAGTATACATTACCCCTGAATGTAGTCCAGGACTAGAGTAAACTCAGTATGTATAAAATGAGAAGCGGGGTATCCTTTTCGGTGGATATTCCTTGTATACAACTAACAAGATAACTAAGAACTAAACATTAAAAGTTGATATATGTTAGTGAAAAAAATAATCAATAAACAACTGAGAAAAAATAAAGAAATGCTTATTTGCCGTAGACTATCTTAGAGTATTTATTTAAACCAAAACAGCGTATGAATACTACCTGAATTCCATTAGAAAGGGGCGGAAATTGAGTCGTATTGACGGAATACACAAACCAGCCCAGCAGAGGACACTACACTGACCGCTCCCTCACTCAATTCTCTCTTTACTTTACAATTTAAGTGGAAAATGGGCTCGATTGTCTTTTTTTTTAAGCGTTCATATATATTTATTCGAATTCTGAATTTGTGATTTAATAACAATCGAACCGATATAAATAGATGTTTAGAAATATTTATAACTTATTTTATTTTTATAAATTATGTATTGAAGAATATAGGTGTATAGTTTTTTTTTATTTTTTCTTGTGAGGGTGTGAGTAGGGTGGGTTGAAGTTTGAAGGGGTTGGTGGTGGATTGAGAGGGGGAGGAGGGTGAGGGGGCTGCTGCCCCCCCTCACCCTCCTCACGTGTTCCCAGGGCGGGTCACGTACCTCCGCCAGCCCCAACGGGTTCTCCCCTGCCCCCCCCCCACCCCCTCCCGTAGAACAATAAATAACACCGCGGGTAACAATTCATCTCTCCTGGCTCCTGTGTGTTCACTACCCTCACCCCCCCTCCCACACCCCCTTCCCCTCCCCCTCACTCGTCACCTTAACTCCCCCCATCAACAACACCCCATCAACCACTACTCATCATGTGAAAGCCCTCGCCACTATAATATACAAACAGAAAGAGTAACAAAAACACACACACCTCTCACACGAAACAAACACACACACACACGAAACAAAACGACATGGAGACGATAGTTTAGTACACGTCTGGCGTGGTGGTGCCCCCTACCCCCCCCCCCCCCCCCCAACCAAACTTGGCATTTATGAAAAATTCCAGCAGTAGAGTGCCAGGCACCAGCACTAGGTCAAGCCGGGTCATCACGCACGGGTGGGAGGTGGTAACTCACTCTCGTATATTCCCTCCATTCATCAAACATTTACGCAATACTTACGAAACCTGTGCATCTTTCTTTACTTATAGCGGCTTTGTTTACATTTATTAAACAGTGCATGAGTGTTGAAGTGATACGAAGCTGTTTATTACAATAATAATCTTGGGTTATGAAGTTTCGGAGCTTGTAAACTGTTTAATAAATGTAAAGAAGGTCGCCATGATTATTGAAAGATGTATAGGTTTTGTAAATTCGTAAATGCATATGAATCCTGGCTGGATCACAGGCCAGATTCACGAAAGCACTTACGAACGTGTACATCTTTCCTCAATCTTTGACGGCTTTGGTTACATTTATTAAACAGTTTACAAGCATGAAAACTTCCCAATCAACTGTTGTTATTGTTATAAACAGCCTCCTGGTGCTTCGGAGCTCATTAACTGTTTAATAATTGTAAACAAATCCGCCAAAGATTGAGGAATGATGTACAGGTTCGTAAGTTCTTTCGTGAATCTGGCCCCAAAGCGGTAATGTTACGTAAATGTGTGTGTGTATGTGACGCGTGTACAACCTGTAACTCTCCCATAACATAAAAGTTTCGTTTTGAATGAAGAATCTTAAAATTGATGAATGTGTCTTTGGGGTCGACCGCTGGATAGAACGGACTAGGTCTCAGGACAGGTTCATACAAATAATTGCCAACAGAACCTAAACACCTAACCTAACTAATCCTTTAATATACGCAGTATGCTGATATATATCAATATTAAATTTATGTTTGAATGAACATCATGTTAAATTTTGAATGAACATCATGTTGAAATTGATGAATGTATCTTTAGGGTTGACCGGTGGATAGAATGGATTTGGTCTGAGGACAGGGTTGGATATTGACTCACTGGTCGTCTGAGGCAACAACCTCAGCTAGACGATGATTATCTTCACCTCAGTTGATTATGTTAATCGTTGAGGCAACGATGAACATAATCAGACATGATAGAAGAACTCTTGTGTTATTAGGATACAATGACCGGCTGAAGTCTATGTATTGGTATCTTCTGAGCAACACTGAAAAACCCGCGTGGTTGGTCGACACGGGAGAACTACCAGCCAATCACGAGGCGCTGTGACACCCACATTCTTGTCACAGCCGCCACAAGATTCATCTTCTGTTCGCTACGGCTCTCTCCCCTTGTTTTGTTTGTATTTTCCTCTCCCTGTGAGGATTAAGATCTACAAAATGGGACAGTACGGAAGTGCAGGAACCGAAGAGGAACAGGAAACGAGGCGTAGGAGGAGACGGTGGCGACGTGTGGCATCACCGTGGCGGGTCAACCGTCTTCCCTCACTCCAGGAAGGCAACACCTCGTCATTGTTGATCGAGAGGAGGGAGGAGACGGAGCATCTCTCCGCCCGAACACCCTCCTTAATTCTAGCTGATCACACGCCCTGCGTCTTCATACCACCTTCCTCCCGCGTCTCCATTGCTATCCACATCCTCTGCCTCCACCTATCCTTCCCTCCCAGCCACCACCTTATTCCCCCAGGACAGGCAACGGACCCCCAGCATGAGTGTGGTGTGGGTCATCACTGTGTTGCCCCTACTGGTCACCGCTGAGGGAGGTAAGCAAGTCTGGTCCTTACCTCCTGGAGGAGAGCCGCGTACCCTTCCCATCCAACGCTCAAGTACGTGTTTTGACACATTAGCATCAGTAATAAATCTATGTTGACATTTAGAATTTTCCGTAATTAGAACATAAAGTGGTTAATACAATCACTTATAAATTGATTGTATCGTTTTTAGCGCGTCAGCATCAATTGAAGTTAAATGCTCGTTAATCAACCGCCAAACTTCTTTTTATAAATGTAAAACACTTCATTAGGGTGTTTCTAGATTTTCCGTAGCAGTGCTTCACCGTGTTTCCGTGTTGGAATCTTACCTCTTCTAAGTCTTTCACCTCAAGTATTGCAAATTCAAATTCGTGCCAACGGAACCATATACACCCAGGCGTAGCTATGAACACATTTGCAAGTTTATAAGCGTTACCAGTAAAATGTTGCATTGCTGTTAATATCCAACTGCGTCTTTGGAGTCTGCCCCAGCAGAGGCCACTAGCTCGTAGGGCGTCACGAGCCACACTAGTGATGCGTGGCCACACCTTGCTGAGGATGGGGTGGCTAGCGAGGCTACTAGCTCGTAGGGCGTCACGAGCCACACTAGTGATGTGTGGCCACACCTTGCTGAGGATGGCTAGCGAGGCTACTAGCTCGTAGGGCGTCACGAGCCACACTAGTGATGTGTGGCCACACCTTGCTGAGGATGGGGTGGCTAGCGAGGCTACTAGCTCGTAGGGCGTCACGAGCCACACTAGTGATGTGTAGCCACACCTTCCTGAGGATGGGGTGGCTAGCGAGGCCACTAGCTCGTAGGGCGTCACGAGCCACACTAGTGATGTGTAGCCACACCTTCCTGAGGATGGGGTGGCTAGCGAGGCCACTAGCTCGTAGGGCGTCACGAGCCACTCTAGTTATGTGTGGCCACACCTTGCTGGCGACGTGGTGAGGTGCGACCTCGCACAGTCAACAGGTTATTCCACTTGTGCGATAGTTGGGTTAAAGGGTAGACTATTGGATAGCTTTTTCTGCGAAAGTTCCTATACTCGTAAAAAGAAGAGGTGGAGGGAGGGGGAGAGGTAAGAGATTTTGACACAATCTACACGTGTAAACTTAGTAATTAAACTTAGTAAATGACGTAACTGGTGGTGGAGGCCATATCTCCATCACTGTAACCATCTTTGCTACACAACTGTCACTATATCAACCTTAACTATACCTTGAGGTTACCTTGAGGTGCTTCCGGGGCTTAGTGTCCCCGCGGCCCGGTCGTCGACCAGGCCTCCTGGTTGCTGGACTGATCAACCAGGCTGTTAGATGCGGCTGCTCGCAGCCTGACGTATGAGTCACAGCCTGGTTGATCAGGTAAGCTATAACTATAACAATTAATATGACAAACGACCATCCACATTTCAGTATCTTCACTAAATATTATGTTCATCTGTGTAACCATTCATCACTATGGCACCAAAGGATTCATCTAGAACCTTCCCTCACTTTAGACACAATCCCTCTACTTTATCCAATTTTTCTGACCCTTCAGGCATCTCCACCTACCTACTTCTCATCACTTTCCCAACCATGCCTGAAAACATCCACTAAACCCACTTCATTAATGAAATACAATGAAATAATGTATTAGATGAATCATAATGAGGATTGATTCTGGTATTTAGAGATTGAAAATTAGTATAATTTGCCGGTTAATGCAAAATGGGGAAGAAGAGGGAGGACTCGAGCAGCATATGGCCATCCCCGGAAAAAGACCAGCCGCCCTACCAAGTTTGGCGCGGCCCCGGGCCTCAGGGCTCCCCTGTAAACGGCCAAAAGCGACGTTCTTTTTTAAGAGGACAGGTTGCTGAGGCATGCTTTTATAGACAGATAAAGCGGAGAATTTACACGAAAACACATAAAGTATGCTTCTTGTTGATAGTGTTGTGGTTGGAATGGATTTACGCAACAAACGAAAGAAAACCGAAATGTCGATTTTTTTCCCCCAAATCTTAAATACTATGAATTATCGTTCATAAATACTGGAATTATCTTGAAATAGGCTATCAGTTTGACTATGCCTCTACGATTCATAAAAAAAGAAAGTGACCAATATATACTACAAAAAATGCATTAGTATGTTTACATAAGTCTGATTCACTTAAATATATATTTAGTGACATTTGATTTGAGGATATTAAGAGGTAAAAATTTCGATCCTAGAGAAAATCACCAGTGAGAATGACCACATATACCGGTATTAAAACAATGATGCCATAGTGACGTGACACCTCTTGCTACTTGTAATATATAAAAAAACGTAAAAAATTAATTTCGTCGAGTTGGGCGCGTTTAAAGAGTATCGATGACGTAGCTCTATCAAAATTTTCTCAGGTGGGCATTTTTTTTCAATGCCCTCTCTCAGGGCATTGAAAAAGAAGTGTAAAGTGCCTAGAAGTCAGGGCACTTTACACGCATTGTCTCTTAAGTGCACTATTCTAATGTGGGCCTCTGAAGGGAAGCGTTCTTTTTCCAGCAAGTGTTTATTATACTCTGGTGGTGGGCCGTGATGTGGTCCCTATGTTGATTTTGAGGAATACGGCAGGGGGGGGGGGGGGGGAAGAGTGGGAGGAAGACCACACCCCCGTGGTCTTCCTGAAGCGGATGGGTCATGTTTTGGGTGAAGAAGAGGGGGTCATGCCTGGGGTGTGAAGAGGGGGGGGGGTCATGCCTGGGTGTGAAAAAGGGGGGATGAAGAGGAGGGGTCATGCCTGGGGTGAAGAGGAGGTCCATGCCTGGGTGTGAAAAAGGGGGGTCATGCTTGTGGGGGTGAAGAGGAGGGGGTCATGCCTGGGGGGTGAAGAGGGGGGTCATGCCTGTGGTGTGAAGAGGGGGTCATGCCTGGGGTGTGAAAAAGGGGGGTCATGCCTGGGGTGTGAAGAGGAGGGGGACATGCCTGGGGTGTGAAGAGGGGGATCATGCCTGGGGTGTGAAGAGGAGGGGGGTCATGCCTGGGGTGTGAAGAAGAGGGGATCATGCCTGGGGGGTGAAGAGGAGGGGATCATGCCTGGGGGGTGAAGAGGAGGGGATCATGCCTGGGGGGTGAAGAGGAGGGGATCATGCCTGGGGGGTGAAGAGGAGGGGATCATGCCTGGGGGGTGAAGAGGAGGGGATCATGCCTGGGGGGTGAAGAGGAGGGGGTCATGCCTGGGGGTGAAGAGGGGAAGGGATAGCGAGGCACCATCAGGGTAGTGCTCTACTCCTGACCTTTGTGAGCTGAAGATGACATATTCCCCACCGACGCTCTCTCACTATCATCTCCCCCTTTTTGTGGATTGCACCTGCGGTGTTCTGCTCCTGTAATTTGTCACCCTTGGAACCCACAATCCCCCTGCTTCTTCGCACCATACACCACTCCCCCACCCCTCCTTCCCTCCCTCCCTCTCCTCCTTCCGTCCTCAGCTGTGACATCATCGTTCTAGTCAGGTCTAGTGATTAAGACAACGCGTGGTATTTGTCTACTAGGCTCCTAGGCCTGGCTCCCTCCATGCCCAGCCGACCGGCCCCCTCCGCCTGCTCTTGCACTCTACGACACAGGGTGACTACGCCTATCTCCGGTGGGCTCGGCCGCGCCCATTGGGTACAGTGTCCATCAGGTCTGGGTATGTCTCGACGCTTCCCGTCTTTCTGGAGCGCCGGCGTCTGGCAGTAAGCCACTGACGATGTTTTGTCAAATTACGCCTCGTTTTCCTATTGTCAACGTGTTCTGAAAAAGGGATAATAATGGGTGAGATATGAAATAGGTCTTAATACGAGTTGTAATTGTGACACTCCTCCACCTGCCTCGCGTCTGCTGGATACAAGGACTCTGCATCCCATCTTTAACTTTATCCACTTGATGGATCAACTAAAGTTGTTTGCCATGGGAGGCGACCACCCTAAAAGAGGGGCAGTGGAGCCGAGCCGCCTGTGACAATACCATATAACTCCGCAGTCCGGCCTTCTAATATTGTCCAACGTCACGAAATTGTCGTACTAAAGTGCCTTTATGCTAAGCTAAAAGCTACATAGTCTCCCCGGCTTGGCGCCTTCTTTTGATAATTACTTACTTATCCTAACTTACCAGAGGACCCACAACAGAAAATGGGACAGTATGTCAATTTCGCGAGCATCTTCTATTTTCTAGTACGACGATTTTTTTACCTTAGGTCATGTATGCGTTACTATACGTATACGCAAAATGCGACGCTCTGTTAAGAGGACGGGTTTACCCTCGACCAGCCACCTGCAAAGTTGAATGAGGCTAGACTCACGCGTTGTGTCTACAACCTAGGACCAGATGGACTGGCACACAGCCATCCAATTTCTCATAGATAGATCTATATTTTTCAAGGTCTTGTGACAGTTCCTTAACACCCACCATTCACCCTGCAAAGTTTAATGAGGCTAGCCCCAAACGTCCGGCTTCCAACCATAGATAGCCATCCTATTATATAGACATAGATACACAAAAAATTATCAATATTATACGTTATTGCCTCGCGTCTGTACGATCTAAATTCATTGTTGCTTAGATCCTGCTAGCATATCCAGACGGAGTATAACATTCAGGTATTCATAGTGTGCAAATAGAATCAAAAGCAGCCAAGGGCGCAACGGTTATGAGATTTACGGTAAAAACGTTTCTGTCCGATTGATCACATTATTAAAACAGCAATATCAAAATAAGCCGCTCGTCGGTTCTGGGTTTGTGTGTGTGTTTCTTATTGTGGTTTACTCGCCAATATATTTATGCGGGTTTGAGCTCCAGCTGTTTAACCCCGCCTTTCCAGACGGCGGCTCTCATACAATGATTCCCGACCTAAATGTATCCAATCATGCCTACTCTTGAGGCTGCGAATGTATCTGGCTTCTACAATTTGCCAGTTTAGTTCACCCCATGTTCCTTTGTCTTGCACAAAAAATCAATCTCGATGGCTAATGTGTCATATTTTTCTATGTCCTCTTGTGCTATTGTTCATTGTAAACGTTTCCTTCTTTTCCACCCTGTAAATTCGAAGTATGGCTCCATTCTCCTAGCA